CTGCCGCCTGCCACTCACAGCCGTGACGGCAGAGAGGAGCGGCAGGCTCAGGCACAGACATGTCGGGTTTTCAACCATCGCACACAGAGATGGGCTGGAAAAAGGTGGTTTCCTCCGAACCCAGCTGTCCCCTGACATCAGGCTGATGGTCCAGAATTGCCGCTGGGCTGGGATGCCCCATCCCCATCAACACTGAAATCACCTCCACAGCCCTGAACATCTCCGTCTCCGTAATACGGGTAAAACCCAGCTTCGACCTGAACCACTTGTGGGCCTGGAATTGCAAAAATAGACCGAAACAGCAAATCTCTGGGAAGGCACCGTGTCTCTCAGGTCTGCCAGCTCCACAAACGAGGCAAAGAGAAAATCCATCACCACCGAAGGCTGGGGAAGTCTGGCACCGGGAGAAAGCGGTGCTGGAAGCTGCACGGCCCCGAAGCCGCAGGCAGCCCCGGGTGACCGCAGCCACTCGCCTCTCACCAGGCAATTTTTGGGGATCTGCCTCTTTAGTTTCAGCCCCTGAGCTGCCTTTTCAGCCCCACGCTGCTGCAAGGCAGCCCGAGCCCAGAGCCCTGGGGCAGAGAGGGGGTGCTGAGCAGCGGCGGCGTTTCGGAGGCACCCCGAAGCGTTGCAGAGGGGCCTGAAAACCTGCCGGCTGGAGGAGGAGAGCAGTGCATGCTCTGGATTTTATGCTCCAGCTCGCTGTCCTTTCCCATTTTTTGCCAACAGATTGATCACCTCCTTCCCCTCCGGCATTTATATAAACACCCCGGGACATCTCACGCCCTTGCCCCCCACTGCCCTCCTGGCTCCGGGCGGAAGCACAACCACGGCACCCACCCGGGACGGGTGCTAACACCGGCAGCTCATTAAGGGGGGGCCTGGTACAGACACGGGGGTACAGGACAGCCCTACCCCCAAAACCCACGATGGCCATCGCTGAGCCGGGCTGCGACAGCGCTGAGCCGGCACAGCCCCCCAGCAAAGCCCTTCTCAGCGAGAGCGAGCGTTCCACTGCATTATCCGCTTTATTAATAATAAAAGAGGCAATTTTCTCAACCCTTTAACTTTTAAAGAGTTCCTGCTTCACTTAGATTGAATTCCCAGTGCCGGGCAAGCCTGGGAGGGATTTGGTACCCCTGCAACACCGCGGAGGTCCCGGCGTCCCTCCGGGTGTACGGAAAGATGAACGGGGGAGCATCACCTCGGTGTGGGAGCAGGGTACGGGCTGGGCGTGGATCTGTGCTGATGGGGAAGGAGCTGGGGTCTGTGGTCTGCAGAAGTCTCCTGCACCACTTTCTCCTTTGCAACCCCAAGCCCGTGGCAGGGCCCTTTTGCATCCAAGCGCTCCGGATGGAGACAATGCGAGGATGGGAGAGGACACCCCATCTGCAGGTATCCACACGTCTGCATTTGGAGGAAATGTCACCAAAAAAATAAAATAAAAAAAAAATCTCAGTTTAGCAACTGCTCTTCCCTGGGCTGGCCCGAACCCCGGTGTAAAGGGGTGGCTCCATCCAGCCCGTCCGCTCGCCTCCTGCCAGACTCGCCTCTCTCGACGTTGGCTTCCCACGGAAGAACTCGTGGTTGAGGGAGCTGTGCGGGGGGTTGAAACGCGCCTGCAGGAAGACGCAGCCGTTGGCGATCGCCTCCAGTGGGGCAGGACCCTCGTAGGGGAACCCAAAGCCAATGAAGAGCTGCAACGGAGAAACCCATGTGCTGGTGAGCGAACGCGGCCAACCCCGTAGCAAAGTCTCCCGAATAACCCGCCAGCGTCCCTCTCTACTGCTCTGGTCCTGCACACCAAGCCTCTACGGCAGCTCCATGCATTTCAACACCCCGTAGCTTAAACGTGCTAAAAACTCTCTCCGCTCCGTGGCTCACAGCCCACTTGTGCAAGGCGACGGGGTGTTCAGGAGCTGCAAGTGCCCCCATGGTGGCTACAACCATTATCTCCTGTATGGAGAAATACTGCTTTGCCAAAGCTATTTGGGCTGGTGAATCGACATTTCCCCCAGACGCCGGCTGAAGGTGACCGAGACGTGGCCGGCGCCGGGCGCACTCGCTCCGAGAATCCCCCTTGTTTCTATCATCACAGCTGTGCGGAGGAAAAAAACCCCACCCCCCTTAGCAATAAATTAATTAATCGGGAAACTTGGTGCTCCATCTGCGGACAGTCTGCAAGGAGAAACTCATCAGACACATCTTGATTTGAGATGATGTGCTCTGCTCGGCTCCTGGCTAATTAGCCCTGCTGGTAGCGCCTGCAAGCCTGGGAGGAGCCAGATAACGGCCTCTCCCCCGCCTCCTCCTTTAATTAGGTTTTCTTTCTCAAGGCAACTGAGTCCTTGCTGCTGGCTGGTTAACGGGGGACGGTGAGCGGGGTCCCACGGATGCCCCGGCTGGTGCTCGCCCCCCTTCGCCTTCCTCAGCAGCTGCTGAAACTCGTGCTGCGGCAGCAGCCCGTGGTTCTTCACGAACGCCGGGACCTCGGGCGGCCGCTGTGTCTCGTAGTAAACGGTGCCGTGGATCTCCATGTACTTGTTGAGGATGGCCAGGAACTTCTCCTTGCCCTGCGGAGGAAGGCGGAGGTGTGAACCACACCAGAAGATGGGGCTGACCCCCCGGGTTATGGGGGGAGCACCCGCGATGCTTCAGCCCAACCTGCAGCAACGCCAAACCCGCACCCCCTCCTCCGCATCCCTTGGGTACGCGTCCCGGACCGCCCCAGGCTCCCAGCGAGCCCGGACGGCTGCGGGATCCAGCTCCCTGAACATCGGCACCTCGAGCCCCTGCCTTCCCTGCCACCTCCACGGGCAACTTCCACTCTGGAGCTGCTGAATTAAAGCTTCCAGGGGATTCAGGGGGAAGTTTGCAAAGACCAGAGCTTGCTAACGGCCTCTTCTTCCAAGAAACAGGTCCCCCGGGGTTTTTTCACTCAGGTTTAAGCCTGTTTTACTACCTGGAAAAATCAAGGGGGTCGTCAGTTTTCTTCTTTTGGAGCCTTTCCTCCTTTTGATCTCCAAAGCAACCTTCCCTTTTAACAATTTCTCTATGGCAGAATTTTTTTGCTTGGAAAAACCACACAGGGACCATCCTTTGGATGTTGGATTTTCAGCTTGTTTCAGTGCTGCAATAGGCCCGGAAAAGAGCCACGACCAGGAGAGAATAAGGAGGTATAAACAGGGAATTTGAGAAAATTCCGTATGTTGCCTTAAAGCCTCTCTGAACACTGTATGTCTGCCCTCAGACAGGTATCTCTGGACTTCTTTAAGGTTAAATATAAGTGCTTTTGGTGGGATGATGCTGCAGGGTGAAATCCTGGCTACAGTGCCACTGACACCCAAATCGGCACCACTTTGATACCAGTTCCCTAAGGCAAAGGGCTTGGGGAGTGAAACACAGCTTATAGTCCCTGGGGAGCGCCTGGCATCACCCAGCATCATTGGGGGACCGAGCCCCACGGCTCCCTGCACGGGGCGGGGGGGCTGGCATGGGAGACCCCCTCCACTGCTCCAGCCGAGCACCGCGAGCCGCTTCGACCCCTGGACGTTGGGCAGCAGCCCGATGAAAACCGCCTTTCCAGCTTATTAAAACTTTGGCTCCTGCTGCGAGCTGGAGGCGAGGCGGTCATCGGGGTGGGAAATGAGAAATAACGGGCAGGTCGGTTTAATCAAATGTTTCCAAATGTCAAAAAGATCCTGCTCTGGAGATGGCGCTTGGTCCGAGGCTGGTAAATAAGCACCTGGCTCTAGAAGATGGAGGTGCTCTTTTCCTTCCTAGACCTCAAAATCACTCAGAATAAGGAAAACCTCCTCCTCCCCCTAATTTTATTACACAAGACGCGAAGCAATGCCCAGGCAGCCTGGCCTGGAGGAACAGCCACCAGCAAGAACCAATCCCAGCCCCTTCACCCTGTAATAAATGACCCCCAATATGCAGTTTTGGGGAAACTGATGTTATCTGTGAATTCTGGCTAAAAGGAGCAAACATTTGTAGCACTAGGAGTGGAGGAAAATGTCCGTTCTGAGGCTTTAACTCTCTTTAGTGCCTTCCCAAATTAACCTCACTAAGCTCGAATGAAACTTCTGGATAAGAAAGGGTGAGGAAATGGTAGAAAAATGAGATTTAGTGAGTTTCAGCGGTGTTTTGGGGAGCCCCTGAGCTATGTCGATGCTGGCGGAAGTTTGCTCTCAGATATGGGGGGTGATGGAAAAGCCACAAACACCCACGAACAGGAGGAGGTGGCGTGGCGTAGCCAGATCCTGGCCCACCACAGGCATCCCTGCGAGGGCAGAGCCGCTAAATCAGGAAAGGTGGGGATGGGGAGGGGATACAGCCTCCGGCTGCATCAACCCGCGTCGATCCCGGCAGCTCGGGAGGACCGAGCCCACGGCGAGGCAAAGTTGACCCCCGCAAAACCTCTGCTTTTGCGAGAAGGTGCGCAGAGGTAAAGCCCAGCGGCGGCTGGTGCGGTACAGTACCTGCAACTGGAACAGCCCCAGGCGGTGCACGAAGCGGGGGGAAGAAAAAAAAGAAATAAATCAAGAGACAGTGAGGATCAGCTTCCTTTTTTTAAGCCCCGAAGGGAAATCAGCTGGCTAGCTGTGGGTAAGAGAGAGGGGAGTACACACGTCCCCTGGCCACCACAGGAGATGCGGGGGGGACGTTTCGGGGGCTGGGGGGGTATTGTTGGTCTTTTTGCTCACTGGCAGAGCAGTTTGGGGCTGGGGGAAGACAGCGAAGGGTTTTACCCTCCGGCTGCTGGCCTAGAGGTGGCCTGAGCCAGGATGCACTAAATGCGCCCAAGTGTGGGGTCCCAGCAAGGAGCAGCGCCGGCCACCACCAAGGATGGAGCAAGAGCCCCGCGCCGCTGCCCGCCCCTCTTCTCTGGGCATTACAGGCGTGGGCGGGCAGGAGAGCAGCACAACGCCCTTTCACAGGGTGCTTGAGCGACGAACCATCCCCATCATAACGCAGGAAATGGCCTAAGGGCAATCATTGCAATTAATCACATAAAATCATTGATATGAAATCATCAGCCCACGCAGCCTGTTGGGAGGAAGCGTCGCCTAGAGCAAAGAGCAAGGGACGGGGTCTCACCAGCCTCTGCCTGGTTTGGTCAGAGGCGCTGGACATGTCCCATCACTGCAGCGGCCTCAGCTACGAACGGGACA